TGTCTATGTAAAGAGTTTTTGAATTGGTTTGTTTAAAGCGACTTTTGTTTACTTGTAATTGACTTGCATTAGAAGAAATCAAATACTTAGTAACATCATGTACTATTTAATTTGGTTTAATTTATTGAGATGCTTCCAAGCTCTCTTGTTATTTTATTTTGCTTTTGCACTTCTTAAAATATCTGATTTCATTTTTGAGACCTAAAATATTTTTGAAATTGTCTTAAAGGGAAAGGGTTTATTTACCCCCTCCATTTCTATAATTTTGTGTCCATATTCTCAACCAATAATTAGTATGAGAGCAGGGTTTTTGATCAAAGTCTTGTGACTCCAAAAGTCAAGGATATGGTTTCTTCGATCCTAGACGAGTTTTTATGATCATTTAGAAGCTTATGGAATTCAATGAACTCCAATGATACTAGAATGGTTTAATAATTCCTGGTTATTCACTGTATGCATTACATATATTAACACGAAGTAAAACCTTACTTGTATATTCTTCAAACATTAATTGTATTTAAGATATTCTCTAGTTTTTTATTCAACCAGGATTGAACTGACAACTTTTTGAGGTATGTGTAGTTTAATTAGAAACCTGACACCATGTCTTAAAGGTTGGTCCTAATCGATCTTAATTAAATATGGACGCACATTCACACTACAACATGCTGGAATTTTTTGTGAGATAAAAGAAAGAAAGAAAAAAACATCTTCTAAGTGACATATTATTCCAAGGTTATCATAAAAATAAGATGAAGGAAGTATTGTGGATATTGGAAATGATTATCCAAATTTTCAAAAATTACAAAAGGTTAAAGGATAGAGTATTCTCCTTGAAGCACCATTGATCATAAAAGAGTTAAATCGGTTATTTAGGATTGACAAGTTGTATTAATCAGTGATAATCAAATAATCATTGTCCAAAGTTCATCTGAAGCCTTATGAAGGAGAGTTTGATAGTATTCTTTAGACATGCAAAAGGAGTTGTATATGATTAGTATATGATTGATTATATTTTAAAGCTTATGATATTCTTGTTGTTGATTACTAATCGTTCTCCTGTACATCAAGTTATGTCTAGATCGTCTAAATTGGTATGATCGTTCCAACCTTCCTTTATTTCTTTTTGTGTATATATATTTGTAATTATTCAAATACCTAAATGGGTTGTATGTTTGAAACATGTATGTGTATGTGATATTTTTGTGCATTTCATGCTTTAATTATTCAATCATTCAATGTATCGGTTTAACTTTATTTTCGTTTGTTCATTACATATATTTATTTTCATTTAAATTCATTCATACATGCATAATCATCATTTTGTTCTCATTTGCATTAAATGATTTCTCATTAAAAATTATTATTATCACTAAAAACAATTTATGCATCTCATTAAAACTATTTTCTCATGCATTAAAATAATTTTTCAAAAACATGCTTCATGATTTGAATCATGAAAACAACCTGATTTGAATTAAACAATTGAAATTTCAAAGATTTGGATGTTGTTGAAGTCCGATTCAAATCACAGCTACAGCGTGATTCGAATCACAACAACAATGTGATTCAAATCACATCTCATTATTTGAATTCTTTAAGTGCATGATTCGAATCACAAAAACAACATGATTTAAATCATGAAACCAAAAGTCACACATTAAGTTATATTTCAGCAGTAACGGTCCCTTTCTTGTTTTATCTTAATCTCATTTCGTACTCTCATGCCACCTACACTCTCATTTCTCTCAAATACCATTTTTCCAAAACCATCATAACACTTTATTTCTCATAAACATCCATCCATTTCATTTTATCATCATCAACCATTCCCAAACTAATTTTCTAAACCTTTATAATCATTAACTCAACAATGTCTTCCTAAGATCAACAAAAGAAGTTAACTGAGAAACAAAAGGGGAAGATGCAAGTCTCAACTTCAAATTCATCTCCTCCTCAAGTTTCGCCCATTTCTTCTTCTTCAATGTACGAAAGCGAAAATGTCAAAATCTTATGTTGTGTCAAGTAATAGTTTTGCATCAAGAAGAAGAAAAGTACATTGCTTTTGTGACCTTGATTCACTGCTCACTACTTCATGGACAAATGAGAATCCTGGGAACATGTTTAATGGTTGTGGGTTATACAAGGTAAAACTCAGATTCTATCAAATGAATGTCTATGTATTAGCTTGAACCCATAATTTCTAAACGTGATATTTTTCTGTGAATGTAGTTGCAGGGAAGAAAGGGATGCAATTTCTTCAATTGGTACGGTGAATAAATGTATGTGCGTGCAAAGGAGATGATTTTGTCACTCATAAAGAGAACTGATGAAATTAAGAAGAAGGATAATTTGAAGCAGAAACACAATGAGGGTCTGAAAAAGAAGCTTAAGTTTTGGGCCTTCATGGCGCCCTTCTAATAACTGGTGGATTTATATACTCATTAGTTATTACTAGCCAAAGTCTTGATCCATTTTAGGGTATCACAATGTGGGAGTAACTAGCCAGGCATTATGCTTTCCTGCAACAAACACAAAATTTTCAGCTACCAAACCTATAGTAAAATGCAAAAAAAAATATAGACATACAAATACCTATAGTAAGATGCCACAAAATTTTCAACAACCAAACCATTATGCCAAATGCAAACAATAGCATGTTCACAAGGTATACCAGTTAGGTCCCACTTACGACAAGCACATGACTTTCCTGCCAGATCTACAACATATGTATCTCTCTCATTAGATACACTAAACTTAGTCATTTCTACATCATCATGCCATGTTGCCTTCCACCCCCTGCAACCCTTTTATAGTCTTCAATTATTTCTTGAATCTAAGACAGATATATCCATTGAACCTTTCAAACTCTTGCCTTTGTTTCACAATCCTCACTGTTATATAATGCTTGATACCCTTAAGTAAAGTGATTATTGGTTTCTCCTGAAACAACCGGCTGAAAATCATCAAACAATGAAGTCGCCATTGAACATCTTTTATCCCACAGGAAGGGAAAGGTAAACATCTAGTAAACCTGAGAAGGGATAAGTCACGGTATTGCGACCGAGAGATAAGGGTAAGGGAGTCTGTTACGCAAGGGGAAGGTATTAGCACCCCACACGCCCGTAGTACTCTATGATATCCACTCTTGTTATCTATCTTATGGGTGTGTTTAATATATGCTTACTGTTTATTACTGCTAAAGGGAATGCATGCAAAATAAAGGAGAAAAGAATGTAGGGAAAATAAAAGTGTTCTTGTTCGGGCCCTACCCCAATGCCTACATATCTCTTTTAAGGAATCAAAGAAGCCGTAGTTCGACTTACATGTTTTTGTGCTTGTATTTTTTAATGAACAATATTAATCTCGCATTCTGCTGCAACTCGACCTTCAGAGACTTACGCGTCAGCACAAAAGTGAATTAACATGCTCTTTTTGAAAAAAAATTTGGAGAAAAGGTGCTTGGGCGCACAAAAAGGTTTGAATTTGTTTGTGTTTGTAATGAATGATATTAATTTCTCCTTCTGTCGCAACTCGACCTTTGGAGACTTACGCGTCAGCACAGAAGTGAATTAACATATTCTTTCTGAAAAGTGTTAGAAAGGAAGGCCCGAAGGAGAAAAGAGTTTTGTGTTTGTTGATATTTTTGCTTGTAGATAACAACTAATTAATCTCAAGAGAGAGATTTTAGACATTTCTCTACTTATTCGTGAAATAAGTCTTTGAGACTTGAACCATGCCAAGGCTTAGAATGAGAGAACAATAAGGTCGAGAAGAAACCCGCTTATCGTCTCACATACTTAACGAAGATATGATTCTCGCCAGTAAACTTTTTACGTATTTTTGAAGTTCGTAAAAAAAAGAAGTTTTTGTTGTTTTAAATGCATATGCGACAAGAAAAAAAAAGTCAAGGGGAGACTAGCCTATTTCTAAACCTAAAGTTATCATACTCCATATGACCTATGGGAAAAGATAAATGCAAGGTGAAAATAGAAAGAAAATATACCAAACAAGTACTAGCTCGTAGAGCAAAGCAAAAAGTAAAGAAACCCGGTGATCTCGCGAGCTGCTAGCATCAACAAAGAAAAGAGTCAGAAATTCAATATTCGGAATGATTATTGAAGCATCGTCGATGTGAAAATAAATCACAATCGAACTTTCAAGCGTATCCATATATCACACAATAAACATGCATAAGACTCAAATCTTGACAAGCAAAAGTGAATCACAAGTCTCAATTAATCGAATAATCATGAATTAATTCCTAAAAGAAAAATAATAATAAAAAAATATAACAAATTTTTATTGATTTTATAATTTTTTATCATAGAAAGATATATAAAGAAAAAAGAGAGAGAAAATCCTAAATTGTACATATTTTTTATTGTTTTCTCATATGTATTAATACAATGAAAAGAAGATAAGAGAGACAGGGGGTGTGAAGCTGTATCAGGGGTTTGGTTCATTAGTCAGGCCCAGGTGCAAGGTCCAAATAATGAGTCTTTTTGTTTTGTCCAGCTTTAAGGTGCCCAAAAAATGTTGCGTAGTATGGGCCAGTAGGGGTGTACAAGCAAAATTGTGAACCAGGCCCAAACATTAATCCACAAGATCCATTTTTTCACATTTTGATTCCTGATCTACTATTAATATTAATAAATAAAAAAATGAAAACTAATCTTGAAGATGAAACGATGCGTTTAGGAAGGAGATAGGGTTCAAAGTGTTATGACTCTTCAGATCACACGAACAAGATTATCTTCTCCCTCCCTCAACTTGTTCTCTCTCTTCCTTCTTCACATCTTCTCACCGGCGAAAAGCCACCGTGCGCCGCCGTTCAGATGCCATAACCACCCACACTTATACCTCATGTATCCATCTTATCTTCTATTAGTGATCTCTGACTCTTTGTTCAGTTAATCTACATCTACTAAAATCTCGAAAATCCTAACCTCTTCAAAACTTAATCGAATGCTCCAAACAACGCCTCAGCATATGACTCCATGGAAATATCAGGACCAAAGCGAAAAGAGGGAGAAGTGAGCAACTTACCTGCCAAAGAAGTTCCGGCGACTCTTCAACGGCGTCAGTGTTGTAAGAAATTCAGAGGTAATAGTGCGCTTCCTTATAGTTGCTTCAGTGTAATTTCCATTTCTTCTTCAACTTTGTTTTCGTTTTTCCTGTGCTTGATTGAGAGATTCTGTATATGTTGGTGTCGTTCTTGAGCGTGAGATGTATCAGAGAGATTGAATGGAGAATTTAGAAGCCTTAGCTCTTTTGCTTAGAGTTTTTAGAAGATGAAAACTCTAACAATAATGGTGATGAGCGTATATGTGAGGTTTAGGGATGGAGCAACCAGAGAGAGAATTAAGATTCTTTGCAGAGAGAAAAGTGAAGAGTGGAAGTGAAGAATTGGTGAAAATGAATCGTGTTAATGGAAGAGGATGAAAAAAATGGTGGAGAGAGGATGAAGTTTGAAACTGGAAAAAAGAAGAACATGGTGCATCCTGAAATTTGGAAGGAGTTTGGATTATATAGGTAGTTGAGGATCTGAATTCAGTTATGGAGAGTGAATCTGGGTTGTTAGATTGGGGAGTCGGTTAAGGAATCAATGGTGAGATGAAGGTTAGCAAAGTGAGTTAGTTAGAGGTGAAATTCTGTTAGATGTGTTAGTTATAGGTTAGAGACTGGAAGTTAGAAATCTGTTTGGTGATAACTGTTAGTTTGTTATGGAATGGTTAGAAAATGTTTATAGTTAATTAAGAAATTGTGAGAAAAAATTGGTTATAGTCGATTATGGAATCAGTTAGAAGTTTGAGAGTTTGTTATGATTTTTCTGTTACAATTCTATTTTGCTAGCTGAAAAAAATGGTTAGAAGGAGTTTGGAAATTGAAACTTTTGGGAATTTTATCGAAGCTGTTAGATATTGGTTGGTTATAGATTTGTTATGAGGAAATATATTTTTCTATAGAAAATGGTTGAGAGTTAGTTTTCTTTTTTCTAAGCTTTTGTATCAGCTTTCAAGCCTTGCCATGGAAGACTTCCTCTCAAAAAGTACATTAGTACATAACCAAGTGATTCTAGATCATCTCTTCTGCTTTGTTCAACTCTAAGATGAGTATTAACACTTGCATATCGAGCAGTTCCAGTGAGGTTTTTGTTTTCCTTGTATGGTATAAAATCCACCTGCTGATGTGGCTTCTGAAGTCAAAAATACAGGGTCTGGACTAATTCTGTTCCTATATACAGCAATAGTTGTCTCCAAGTCGTATATAAAAAGTAGGCAAAGTTTGGTAATCACATAAATCAAACTATATTTGTGGGATATCTGCATTGAAACTGGAAAATCATCAGCAAAATCTGGGGGGAAGAAAAGATCTGCTTGTTTCTTTGTAAATGATGGCTTCCCTGGCTGTGCGCCCAGTTCAATTACATGTAACTTGGATATAACTTGACCAGCATTAAGTGTCTTTGAGGCAAAAGAAATCAGAACAGAAGGATTTTCATTCCCAGGAACTTTGAATTGGGCAAATGATACAGCATCAGCTTCAAGAGCCTGACTGCGCTGTTGATCCACAGAGAAAAGTTGCATGTTTCCTTTAACCCATTGGGGCCTCTCGGGGGAACCAGGAGCAATACCAATCAAGACCGAACATTTTTCTGTTGGGTCACATCGACAATTGATTATCTGATTGTTTGCCAAATTCGCTGTTCTCTCAAATATCTTAACAGGTTCAGAATCACCTTCAACTGACCAGTGGTATACAGAGGCTTGTGTCACGAGGCCCAACATTTTGGAGCTAATCCACTTCCAGAAGACTACCTGCTCGGGCATCTGATGTGATTTCATCTTCGTTTTCAATTCAATATTAAATATTTGTAGGTGATCCCGTGTAGTCCCTTGGAGTAGGGCTTTCAAAGCAAGGATTCTAGAATTTGGATTCATAAGGGCGGAATCACCAGTAATCGGCCTCCTCAAAGGTTGATTCGGCATGCTCATATCCATGATAACAACGCTATTCTGTTGAGTAGTTTCTCAAACACATATATACTTTTCCGATTCCATAGTCACATGCGTGAAAGTGACGTGTTGCGCATTGATGCCAACACTCGGCAAGGTTAGGACTTCCTTCATGGCGATCGGAGCATTCGCTGCCATGATGGCTTAGATCGAGGAACTGGAAATCAAAGGTTGATCTGTAAGCAGGTGTTAAATGATATGGACCTATTCTCTGCCAAAGTTAAGATATGCAGGCTGTTCAGTGTATGTGTTTATCATTTGGTTTGAATTAGTTAATGGTTTTTCATGTATCGAGTAATTTGTATGAACATAGGATACTTTGGCACGATTGCTTGTATTGACTTGGATTTTTTTGTATGAATGTGCAGGCCATGAACTTGGAATAAAGAGAATTGCAACGTGAAGAGCATGAAATTGAAAGATTAGTCACGATGATGGAAGCTTGGAGATTATTATTAAGGCATGAAAGTTTTGGGGGCACGAGGACACATTAGAGATTAGACCCAGGATAGGTTTGTGGTGTAAATGGCTTGATGTAATCTTCTTGCTATTTGTGATGTACTTGAAATGATAATGTAAACAGTGACCTTTGATGTAATGATCTCCTCTTCAATCATTTCTCTTCTTTCAATTTAGAATTCACATCTTCAAACCTCATTGGTTTTTGCCTTTTGCTCTTGAATTTCTACTTAAAAAATCTGTCTTAAAAATGCTTGAAAACCTTGAATGATATTGCATTATGGTCACTTGAACGGTGAATGAAATTTGAGATTTGTGATCTTGAAATTTGAAATAGCCTTGAACAATTCTTGCACCATTATGCATGCGTAAACTTGATACTTGCTCTAAATGCCAAATAACTTGCTTCTCAAGAAATCCACATGAATCCTTTTCTAACCTTGCATGCTTGGTAAATGAACTTTAATCCAATTCTTGAACAAAACTTGAATTCACATGATATTTCTCTTGAAATAATCTAAAGCAAACTCCGTGATCAGAATTCCACCTTCCTGAATGAACCCTGATTCGTGAAGAAGATCCAACTGAAACTTTTTTCTAGAATAGAGTTATCGCCCACATGACTAGAGATTCAAGCGACGATTTCCTTCCTATTTGCCAAAGATATATCAGTTGAAACCTTGATTATTCATGGACGATATCCCTTGATTATAGCCTTGCTTGATAATCACAACTTCCCAGAAGAACCTCTCTTGAATGGTGCATGATCAAAGGATGATGTTGAGCACAAGAAGATAATGAATGCCTGATTTAGTAGCCTTTTAGATGACCTCGTAGAACAACTTGGAAATGAGCATGGGAAAACAGAAAGAAATATGACCCAGATGTCCTATGACTTAGAAAACCTAATGAACCTCGGTTGATGAAATGCTAACAAGCACAAACTTGGTGGAGAAATGCTGACAAGCACAACCTTGGTGGAGAAATAATTTGATTCTTGTCTCGAATGTATCTGAATGAGTAATAACCCCTTAATCTTGAAGAGGACGAAACCCTCAATGAGCATAGGTTGCAATCCTAATTCCACATTTCACTGCTTGAAGGATAATCAGAAGAATCAGGCTTTATTGGATACGAACACCTTAACCGTTGTGAAACCCTAATATCGCACAGCCACTGAACTTTGAACCTCAAGCGCTTTATTGAATGCAAATGTATGTTAATGACCTAATGGAATATATATATATATATATATATATATATATATATATATATATATATATATATATATATATATATATATATATATATATATATATATATATATATATATATATATATATATATATATATATATATATATATATGAATGCAAGAGTCTAAGCCAGATAGAAGAAATTAGGAGGGAAAATTTTGGGGTGCAACATCTCCCTTATATCAAGTATTGCCCTATTGAAAGTTTCACACATATTGTTGACCTGCAAATCACTTTGAGTATAAGTGCTGAAAGATGATCTTGTCCATTTATTGCTTTCATTTTCTACATTGCATTGTTCCGATCTGGTATAATAGTAGCTTTTGTAGCTTTCTATAACAGCTCCTTCATAACAGCTCCTGAGAATCTCTTCTTCCAATTCCCATAAAGATATTAACACACAGTCCGTGTTCCACATTCTCACCTAGTACTTTAATTACCTCCACACGTCCCTGACAATTACATATATAGGCAATTACATATAGGTAGAAATACAAATATAAGCATAAATACAAATATAAGCAGAAATACAAATATAAGCAATTTCAGTTGCATACCTTTTACTGGTCATATATAAATACATATTGTCTAGGGATAAGTTGGTTAAGATATTCCAATAATAGTTCAACAAACCACTTCCAAGAATGTCTTGTTTGAGATTCAACCACAACATATGCAATAGGTATCATCTGGTTGTTTATATCCTTGCATGCAGCTGCTATAAGCTGACCACCATGTTCACATTTTAAGAAACAACCATCCAACCTAATTAATGGTCTACATGTGTAAGAAAAAGTAGCCTTACAAGCTTCCAAACAAATATAAATCCACTCAAAAACAGGTCTTATTTAAGATATCCCACATTTGATTATTATTGTGCTATTGGGATTTGACCTTCTGAGCTATTTAGCGTAATTCCTTAAATGTGCATATTACTCACTAGTAGCACCTTCTATCAACTAAATTGCTCTCTTCTTTTCCCTATATGCTTGAAAATGGTTGAGCTTAACATTCCATATAAGAAATGCCTCATCATCCAATCCACTAGGTTTGATATGTGGAGTGTGCCTAATCAATGGAATAAACTGCTTTGGTTCTAGCTTGTTTATTCCCAACAGACCTAACACATTCGTGATCTTTTTTCAAACTAGTAACTTGCTAATACTGACTAACACTCCTTTTAGCAACTAACATATGATATGGGAAATTTGGTTGACATTTCACAACCACCCTAACTGCATCATTTTTCTTGAACCATGAGTTTTTCCTTGTTTCTATAACATGATTCCTGACACCAACTTCAATTATATCAGGAATATCCACTTCATGTTCAACATAAATATCTACTAAGTTATAACTTTTAGCATATGAAACAAGCTCCAAAAGGTCACCATCAATGTTTAGAGGCTTAAGTCCATGCTGAAATGATAGCTTTGGATGTTGACACCACAAACACTTGAACTTCGTATACCTAACACTAAGCACACTCTTTTTTATGTCTTCATAGTTCGTCCAATCAATGTCAAAAGCTTCTTCCATCTCATAAACTACACCCTCCACGTACACTTTGATAGGGAAATATACAAATCTACCCCCATGGTTGATACATAACTTCAATTTCTGCTCATCACTTGGCCTACGCATATCAACAACCAAAAAACCCTAATATATAAGACTCCTATACAACAAATTAAGCACCGAGAAAAAAAATC